CAGCAACCCCACGGTTATCGGAGTACCCCCTCCGTCAGTCGGCAGTCCAGGGCACTGTGTGTCTGAGTGGATCGCAACGCGATTTTGTGAATCCCACTCCACCACATTGCTACTGGCACCTACAACCTTGTGTGAAGTTTGCACAGCAACTTTGGAGGAGAAGAAGCTACGATCTCAGTAGTGAGATACTCCTCCTTAACAGAGTGAATCATCATTGATGCATGAACAGCTCGGAAATATCATCACCGCGATGCTCATCATCTGGGGTAACATCTTAAAATAACCATCGTCCTGAACACAAAACCAATCAGACGTATAACGTCGGAATCCGTCGACATCCAACGATGCGGAATGACTAATAACACAACAATATTCGACGTAGATTAAAGCCACATGGAACAAATCCATCGAACTACAGCCAAATCCATGCTCTGTTGTGGTTGATGACCACAAATTGAGCCTGCACATTAGATGATGAGAACCGAGAATTGAATGTTGTCGGCAAGCCAGACAGCGGAAGTCAGTGTTGCAAAACCAGTTGTAGCCTTCAATGTAAGATCAATCTAGTCTCGCTGACACCTACGAGACCCAAACTTTAATACTATGCAGCATCCCAATTGGCAAGCTCGAGAAGCGCTTGCCATCCAATTATAGTTATTATACACTAGCCGAGCGCCGCCGCTATACAGCGACAATTCATGTTTAGTCGAAATTTGTAAGGTCTTTCCCGCCTCCGCTACACTTTGGCGGTATTATGGCATTTTTAAACCTCCATTTGTTTATCGATTAGCCTTAAATATTTCCTTCAGCCCATTTCTTTTAAATATTTCATTTAGACCATTTATTTCATTGAAGCCTTCAAATTGTGTATATCTTTATAACAATGGCTATCAAGTCAAAGTTCCCCGAGTTGATCAGTGCAATCTATAGGTATAATGTGTTTTCTACAATCAGAGCCTCCTTGGTATAACTATACCAAAACATTACAACATTTCTCTCATTCATCACACTATACACTTGATTTACAAATGTTAAGCGATAGCTTCTTGCCCTAACAATATTAAAACAGGTTTTATAGAACTGACAGACCGATACTGTCAGTTCTATCTATCTCAGTTATTATGCTTCATGTTAATTGTCCACGTTTCCAGTGGGTTAGAGTGTGCTAAGCAGTTTGATACGAAATTTAGTACTCCAGTCATAAATATCTAAAACCCTCGCTCTCACAGGTCTTTATAAATAAACGTTGTATCGTAGCATTCTAAAAAATGTTATTCTATTTTCTATTAAATCCATACTTTAAGTTTGCTGCGACATTAATCAGATGTTCGAGTCCATACGAATAGTATCAGTGTTTTGCGGGGCTATTAATTTTACGTGGTTCGGGTTGAACTGTGTATACTGCGAAGATAATTACTTTCGGGCGGGAAAATCTGACTTTTTTTCTTAACAAAACAATAACAGCAAAAACAAAGTGCGCGTTTCGAATCG